TTAGATAGGGGGTGGAGTCCTGAGGGGCAGTTAGGGGCAGGGGTCCCAGGAGGGGGCAGTCAGGGGACAAGGAACGGGGGCAGGGTTGGGGGTTCTGGGGGGGCGGGAAGTGGGAGGGGCAGGGGCGGGGCTAGGGCGGGGCTCCTCCCGTCCTCTTTTTTGCTTGCTGAAATATGGTAACCCTAGTCTTGAATCCTTCTGCAGGGGGAGGAAAGATCACTTGATGTGTTCTGTCTGTTAGAATAGGAACATTCTCTTCTCACTCCAGCAATTCTCTATTAAGAGATTCTACAAATCTTTCAGGATTATGCTTCTCAATTACTTTAAGTACTCATTTGTTCCTTATGTTAGTCCTTCATTCCCAGATCTATCAGTCATCTAATCTGCATTCCAGCTCTTGATTTTTGTTTTCTTTCTGTTTCATTCTCTCCAGCTCATCATTTTTGTACTGAGATGTTATACTCCTGAGGGAATTCTGCACCAAAAAATTAAAAATTCTGTACACAATATTTTAAAATTCTGCAAATGTTATTTGTCAATACATAAATGTGGAGGCTCCAGCATGGCAGTGCGGAGCACAGGCCACTGACTGCACAGAGGTGGGAGATCACCCTGCAGTCCCCACCCCGGGACATGGACTCGGCAGTGAGGCTGCACCTGACCCTGACAGCGCAAGGGCCAGGCCTGCCCCTCCATGCCAAGCACACTAGATGTAGACAGGCATGCTCAACGCAGCAGGATCCAGGGGCTTAGTGTAGGGAGATCCAGGTGGGGGGTGATAGGGCTCTGTGTGGGGCAATCTGGGTGCAGGCAGCTTGGAGGGGCGGGATCCAGATGCTGGGAGGGATTGGTAGGGGGGGTTCTGAGTGCACAGACAATGGGTCTCTGCAGGGGGGTCCAGTGGGTGGTTGGGGCTCAGCGGGGGTGGGGAGGTTGGGGGTGGAGGGCTCAGCAGGGTGGGGGTCTGGGTGCTGGCTTGATGGGGTGCAGGTGCTGGTTTGGTGGGATTCAGTGGGATGGGGGGGTCTAGTGCAGGGGGCTAGTGAGGGTGTTCCAGGTGCAGGTGGGGTAGGGGGTCTCAGTAGGAGGAGTCTGGGTGCAGGGGGTGAGGCTTGGTGGGGCAATGTAGGTATGAAGTGGGTTTGGGTGCATGGGGGTTGGGCAGATAGGGAGCAGCTCCCTGTACAGTGACCCCTCCCCTCCATGGCTGAGAAGCAATGGGGGCAGGAAGGAGGGGGTCCAGAGCTTCCTGCAGCCAGAGAGGTTTGGGGGGGTCTGACCCTGGCTGCTCCTTGCAGGGGAAGAGGAAATCCCATCCTCCCTAGCCCTGCTGGGGATTAGCAGCTGAGCCTAACACAGGGTAGGAGCCACTGGCTGGGGCGTCTGCATCCTAGCCCCTCTCCCCAGGACTTACCTCTTTGCTGGCTGCTCCAGATGCCCGAAACAATGCACCCGTGCTGCTGGGGAGCGGCGCATGACCCTTTTGCGGCTTCCCTTTGCTTCCCCATCAGAGAGTCATTTTTCTGCAGGGAAGCAAATAAATCTGTGAGGAACATGAATTCTGTGCACGTGCAGTGGTGCAGAATTCCCCTAGAAGTAAAGTTAGTGACTGCTGTCTGAATCCTCTGAATCTTTGAATGAGGCAAACATGTCTGGTTTTTTAAATTTTAGCTCTGCCTCTAACTCTTTAATATCAGTCTTAATGACTAGCACTGTATTCTCCATTATAGGTTGGGGATGAGCTGCTACTGAGAGCATTACACATGCTGCCCTTTTCTGCCTTGGTGTAAAATACAAATGAATGGTAGCTGATTGTTCATAGATATGCATTTAGGATTTACCATAGATTCAAAGGCCAGAAGGGACCATAGTGATCATCTAGTCTCACCTTCTACATAACACAGGCCATAGAACTTTCCCCAAAATAATTACCTGAGCATACATTTTAGAAAGACATCCAATCTTGATTTTAAAGTAGTGAGGGAGAATCCACCACAACTCTTGGTAAATTGTTCCAGTGGTTAATTATTGTCACTGTTAAAAATTTACACCTTATTTTCCATCCACACTGACTGGTTTTCTGGTTGCGGATTGAGTAATTTGATGCCATTAGGTCCACTTTTCCAGATGCAATTTAGCACAGCATTTTTCCTTTGGTGATCAACCATGTATTCTGTTTGTCATGTACGTATTGTGGATGCAGGCCTTCTGTGCATTGGACACAGCAGGGATCTTGTTAAAATCATAGGGTTTCATTGTGGAAAAATGAACACTCTTCAGCTCCTAATAACTTAGAAATAATTGTTCATATATGAAACAGTGTTAATTTTCAGGGAACCACTGTGCATGTGTAAGATGATTAATATGATTTTCATGGTTTATTAGATACAGTGGATTTAAATAAAGGATGAGTGACTTATTTTTAGGTAAAAGTGAGACTGAAAAACATGTCTTCATCACTTTTCATCTACCACACTCTTTAAGAAGAACAATTTTTACAAAAATACTTGTAGTTAAAAAAAAAGTCTTACACAGCCTGACTGGTATTTTAGGAAGCAACAGAATTTAAACATGTGTGTGTTGTGTTTCTTTGTCTATAGCAACGCAGCCCATTTTAAAAGAACTTTACACACCTAAGTAACTAAGTAATAAAGCAAGCTAAGGTCCCCATTCTATATAAACACTTAAGAGCATGCATAACTTTACTTGTATTAGCAGTCCCATTGAGTCAATAAGACTGCTCCCATGATTGAAGTTATACCCATACTTAAGTGTTTGCAGGATTGGAGTCTTACTAATTGCAAAATGAATACACTTACTTTGTGCCAGATTGTTGCTGACCAGTATTGAGGAGCATTGCCTTTGTGCATATAGCATACAAGTCCAGACTACAGGGACTGTTCCCTGCATAAATACTACTGTGTACAAGCCTATGGAGCAGGCTGCCCCGGTGGGTGCATGCTGGAACATTCAGAAGTATGGTAAAGCATATGCAGTACCTTGGTGCATTGGGTTCAAGAAAGGCTGCCCACCTTGCCGCTTATTTAGGCCAATAGCCATGTGTCACAATTCAGACTGTTATTTGTAATTGTTCAGTTATAACCAACTGTTATACACTTCTTCCTGGAATATAAGCAAAATGTAGATAAATACCTAATTTTAATACTGAAATTTCCAGCCTAGTATTATGTACATTGTGAAAAATCAGTTTACTATTCTTTCAAAATTATAACTCCAGAAACAATTGTTCATGCAAATAAAGAGTTTGATCTTGCACAACACAGCTGTGAGGAAATGCACAGGAAGAGGCAAAATATAATAAGACCGAATCAGTGACCCCAAATCTCAAAATTTTATCATATTTGGTGTTTTTCTTAAATTCACAGCTCCTGGAGTCATATGATTATGTGAGAATCTCAGCTCTCATTTAAAAACAAAAGCAAGTTTCTAGCCTTCAAAGTTTGGAGAAAAGCTTGAAAATTTGAACCCTAACGGCTCAAATACCAGAGGGCAATTAAAAAGAACCCAAAATGTATTGACTTTAAAATCATGAGAATTTTAAAAATCTCGTGACTTTTTTTGTGGGGAGACTGACTCAGGATTTTTGAATGTTTGGGGTGGCAATGTTGCAGAATATTAGGAAATCCGATTTTTTTTGTTAAGATGTGCTGCCATGCAGTTACAAACATATACATGATTATTAGCAAGAATAAGTTTAAGAGGGGATTACGTGGCCCACCACTTCTTTAGCATGATGAGTTTACCTATCAACCTCCAGTTTCCTGAGATGCCAAAATCTTTCCTTCTTTTATTTTGTTTTGTTTTTTACTCTGTGCAGAGTTTACGGTATCAGACAAGAAACAAAGACAGATATAGATAAATATATGAGGGAGTAGAAGGAAACAATGAGACAATATTGGTCAACATGATAGGCAGTGGTATCCACACACCAGAGGCTGTTGTCACATTTTTGTAGGCATCACAGCAAAGGAGAGTTTTAAGGATAAAGAGGTAGCTTTTTGAATGTTTATGGGGAACTCTCAGGTGTGAGGGGTAGCATGGGAGAAAGAACTGAGGTGCTGGTTTGAAAATTTAACAAGTGGGAGATGGAGGTTGGCATTACTGGCTGATTGGAGGCAGGAGTTGACATCTTGATAGTGAATGAAAGATGAATAGACTGGGTGAGGATTGACTGTGAAGGGCCTTGAAAGTGAGTACAAGCAGCATAAGTTTGATGTGATAGAGAAGAGGGAGCCAGTGGAGGGATTCAAAGAGAGGGGTGAAATCGTCAAAGTAATGGACTAGAAGAATAATCTTTGCAGCTGTACTCTAAATGGATCTGAGCAAGGCAAGATTGCATTTGTCAAGGCTAGAGAAAAGGATGTTGTTGTAATCAAGAGTGATATAGTGAGAACCTGGACAAGAGTTTAGCTGTGTGGATGGCTAGAAAAGGCTGTATATTAGTGGTGTTACGTAGGAAGATTTAGACATAGCCTAGATGTGAGGACCTAGAGAGAGATCCAAGTCAACAATGATGCACAGGTTATGGGCTTGAGTGACAGGCAGGATAGTGGTGTTGTGTACAGTGACCAAGAGGGAGGTGGCTACTGAACAGAAATATTGATTGAATGTCTTCCTTTTGAGCATTATTATTGACAGTTCTATCATATCCAACTAGTAATGAATCAATACCATTGTTAGGAATCCTTTTGTTTCTGATGTATTTTAAAAAGCTCATTTTTATTATCTTTAACTCTGACTATAGATGTTACCTGGTGTTCTTTTGCTTCCATTATCAATTTTCTACAATTCCTTGCTTTTAATTTATGTTCATTATTATCAACTTCCCCTTTTTTCCATTAGTTATATTTATTATTTATTTATTATGGCTGCTTTCACTTCCCCTCTAAGTAAGGCTGGTTTATTGACCAGTGTAACCTTCTTTCTCAATTGTATGATTGTGGATTTTGTAGCATTTAGTAAACTGTTCTTAAACAATTATCATTCGCATTTTTCTGTTTCTTTCTCCCAGCTGATTTGGCTCATAATTAGGATGTACTGTAGACTTCTCCAGCATCTCTCTTATTAGGAAGTACATTTAAAGTAACTATAAAATAAAACCATGCTATTCTGACTTGTGAATATAATATGACATCGTATTAGTTTGTAAAACTGCTTCACTGAACCTGAAAGGAGAGAGAGAACCTTTCAGGGCTTGACTGTGCAAACCTTATTCATGTTGGTCAGCACTTACTTATGCATGTGTCCCATCAATTACTTGCGTAATTGCTCACCAACTTGAGGAAGGTTGCCCAGTTGAGCTCCGAGCAGTCAAACATGTCATGTTACATCAGTAATGTTTGTATTTGAAGTTTCTGTGTAAGGGAAATTAACAGTATTCCTGTTTTATTTTTTTACAGTCTTACGGAAAAGGAGCTAGAAGAAAAAACCGATTTAAAGGATCAGATGGGAGTACGTCTTCTGACACTACCTCTAATAGTTTTGTACGTCAGGTATGTTATGCTTTTTTTAGTTTGTCATTCAGTTTTCAAAGGCTATTGCAAACTTTTTGGTGTTCAGGACAGACTAGACAGACTTTTTCTTGCAGTATTAGTGATCAAGGCACAGTGTGGTGTTATTGGACACAGAACATAGTAGCTTTCAGTTAGTCTTATTTGCTGTTGCTGAGAGCAGTATTTACTTTCCTTTTATCACATAAATTCCATGAGGTGATTAAGTATGTAGGGGGATGGGGAGACTGGTGGGAGGGCCTCTGCTCTAGCAGAGACCTCATAGTCCCCCCATCCCCAGGGGGATTTCCTGCTTAAAATATTGCTTTTTTTCATTCTTCCCAGTGTTATTTCAGGAGCCCAGCTGGAAAGGAAATCCTTGGCAGCATGGGTCCCACCAGACTGCCATGGAGCTGGAGAGGGCTGTAAAGGACAGAGAACCAGTGCAGAGTCATTCACACTCTGTGAATCCACCAGATATGTGCAGATTTCGAGTGGATTCATTAGTTTTGATGGAATAATGCCAGGGAAATTCTGAGGGGGAGCCTGTAGTTAGATGTTGATAGATGTTTGGCTGCATGTGTGTTTGCTCTGTGTGCCGCTCCAGCGCAGACAAGCTGGCACGGCAGACCTCGAGCGAACCGCCCAATGACCACAAGGTCCGTTAAGGGACAAAGGTTCCTGGCCAGGTTTATTGTCAACGAAGTATGGTACTAGTATCCTGCAGACACTACTGGTCCACTAATACATGTATGCCCATAACAATGGATCAGCTCAGTGACTGGCGGGACTTTCTATTCCTCCCTAGGCTAGACAAAGATACTCCCTCTGAGATACATCTTTATACTCGATACAAACAAGTTAATACTGTAAAAGCAGCAAAGAGTCCGGTGGCACCTTATAGACTAACAGACGTTTTGGAGCATGAGCTTTCGTGGGTGAATACCCACTTATTCGGATGCATGGGTATTCACCCACGAAAGCTCATGTTCCAAAACGTCTGTTAGTGTATAAGGTGCCACAGGACTCTTTGCTGCTTTTACAGATTCAGACTAACACGGCTACCCCTTTGATAAGTTAATACTGCCCCTCTGACATAGTTACCGTAGTTACTGCCCCCGACGTGGC